GCACTGATGCTCCAAGGAAGAGAATGAGCTAGTCACAGCAAGAGGGAACTCAGCACCTCAAGCAGAAAAATACAACCAGGCCCAGAGGTGGGGAACTACTGGGCAAGTTCTGAGGCCGCTGGGGCTACAGCACAGTGGGCAGAGAGAACAGTATGTGAGGAGGGAAATAAAATGAGCCATAACAACTGCTCTGTTGTAATGATTTCTCATTTGACTTAGTGGTTTTATTTTACCCAGGCCTTTTATTATAAGCAGTTTCAAATACTTTTGAAGTGGCCAGTACATAAAGAATGAGGTAAATAAAGTCATTAATTAGAAATAATTTTAATAGCTAACATTTATCAAGAGCCTACTGTGCACTTTACATGACCTAAACATGTAATTCTTTCAATAATCCTATATGGTAAGTACTATTCTTATGTCCTTTTTACTTAAGAGGAAATGAGACACAGAGTTTAATAAACTTGTAAAAGCAGGGAAGAAGTTTCAGAGCAGGATCTGAATCAGACAGTCTGACACCAAAGCCCGTGATCTGCCTGTAATTCTAGCACTCTGGGAGACCAAGGTGGGTGGATCACCTGAGCTCACAAGTTCAAGACCAGCCTGAGCTAGAGGGAAACTCCATCTCTATAAAGAGGCAGCATTGTATAGTGAGTCTAAGAACGTGGGCTTGTTTTGTTTTGTTCTTTTTTGCAATAGTCTGACTTTGTTGCTCCTCCTGTGCCCCCCATCCTCCTATGTAGAGTGCCATGGCATCATAGCTCACAGCAACCTCAGACTCTTGGGATCAAGTGGTTCTCTTGCCTCAGTTTCCCAAGTAGCTAAGACTCCAGGCACTCGCCACTATGCCCAGATAGTTTTTCTGTTTTTAGTAGAGATGAGGTCTCACTCTTGCTCAGGCTGGTCTTGAACTCCTGACCTTAAGCAATCCACCCACCCCTGCCTCCCAAAGTGCAAGGACTACAGGCATGAGCCACTGCACCCAGCCTCTACTTCTATTTCTTAATAAGCAATAGGGTCTTTGCCAATGACATGATCTTATATTTAGAGAACCCCAAAGACTCAACCACAAGACTCCTAGAAGTGATCAAAAAAATACAGCAGTGTCTCAGGATATAAAACCAATGTCCACCAGTCAGGAGCTTGTGTATATGCCAATACCAGCCAAGATGAGAAGCTAATCAGGGGCACAATCTCTTTCAAAGAAATGAAATACCTAGGAATATACATAACAAAAGAGGTGAAGAACCTGTACAAAGAAAATGATGAAACCCTATGAAAAGAAATAGCAGAAGATAGTAACAAATGGAAGAATATACCATTTTCATGGCTGGGAAGAATCAACATTGTGAAAATGTCTATACTACCCAGAGCAATTGACAGATTTAATGCAATCCCCATTAAAATATCATCATCATACTTGAAAGATCTGGAAAAAATAATTCTTTATTTTGTATGCAACCAGAAGAAACCCCATACAGCCAAGGCAATTCTTAGTAATAAAAACAAAGCCAAGGGTATCACTCTACCAGACTTTCTGGTATACTACAAGGCCATAGTAATCAGAACAGCATGGTATTGGCACATAAATAGAGACATGACATTTGGAACCAAATAGAAACCATGAGATTAGACTAACGTCTTACAGCCATCTGATCTTTCATAAACCAAACAAGAAGATACACTGGGGAAAAGAATCCCTATTCAATAAAACAGTTCTGGGAGAAATGGATCATCACATGTGAAAGACTGAAACTGGACCCACACTTCTCAGCACTTAACAAAATTGATTCAAGATGGATGAAAGATTGAAATCTAAGGCACGAAACAATAAAAATCCTCAAAGAAAGTGTGGGGTAAACACTTGAAGATACTGGCCTGGGGAAAGATTTTATGAAAAAAGACTTCTGTGGCAATTTAACAACAAAAATAAACAAACGGAACTTAATTAAACTGAAAAGCTTCTGTACCATTAAGGAAACAACAACCAAAGAAAATAGACAACCTTCAGAATGGGGAAAGATATTCGTATATTATCAATCAGACAAAAGGTTGATAACTAGGATCTATAGAGAACTCAAATTCATCAACAAAAAAACCCCAACAATCTCTTCTGTCACTGGGCAAGAGACATGAATAGAACCTTCTTATCTAAAGAAGACAAATGAATGGCTTTCAAACATATGAAAAAATGCTCATTGTCCCTAATTATCAGAAAAATGCAAATCAAAACTACCCTGAGATATCACCTAACCCCAGGGAGAATGGCCCACATCACAAAGTCTCAAGGTTGAAGATGTTGGCATGGATGGGGAAAGAAGTGAACACTTTTACACTTCTGGTGGAACTGCAAACTAATACAATCTTTTTGAAAGGAAGTATGGAGAATCCACAAAGAATTCACATTAAACCAGGATCCCGTTTGAATCTGCAATCCCATTACTAGACATCTACCCAGAAGAAAAAAAATCCTTTTATCATAAGGCCATTTGCATTAGACTGTTTACTGCAGCTCAATTTACAATTGCCAAAATGTGGAAACAGCCTAAATGCCCACCAACCCAGGAATGGATTAACAAACTGTGGTATGTGTATACCATGGGATACTATTTAGCCATTAAAAAAGATGGAGACTTTACAATTTTGTATTAACCTGGCTGGAGGTGGAACACATTCTTCTTAGTAAAGCATCACAAGAATGGAGAAGCACGAATCTAATGTACTTCATTCTAATAGGAAGGCAGTAGGTGTGCTAATACAAGGAGGGGCAGGGGAATGAAGGAGTGGGATGGAGGGTCATGGTGTATGGCACACCTCTTGGGGAGGGACACAATTGTAAGAGGGACTTTATCTAACAAATGCAATCAGTGTAACCTAATTCTTTGTACCCTTAACAAATCCCAAACAATAAAAGAAAAAAAATAAGGAATAGGGTCTAATGTACATGAGAAAAATTTCCCTTACAATTAAAATAAGAATCCCAGCACTTGGGAGACCAAGGCGGTGGACTGCCTAAGCTCACAGGTTCAAGACCAGTCTAAGCCAGAGGGAGACTCCCTCTCTAAAAAAATAGCTGGGCATTGTGGCAGCCTGTAGTTCCAGCTACTTGGGGGACTGAGGCAAGCAAGAGTTGGAACACATTCTTCTTAGTAAAGCATCACAAGAATGGAGAAGCACGAATCTAATGTACTTCATTCTAATAGGAAGGCAGTAGGTGTGCTAATACAAGGAGGGGCAGGGGAATGAAGGAGTGGGATGGAGGGTCACGGTGTATGGCACACCTCTTGGGGAGGGACACAATTGTAAGAGGGACTTTATCTAACAAATGCAATCAGTGTAACCTAATTCTTTGTACCCTTAACGAATCCCAAACAATAAAAGAAAAAAAAAAAGGAATAGGGTCTAATGTACATGAGAAAAATTTCCCTTACAATTAAAATAAGAATCCAGCACTTGGGAGACCAAGGCGGTGGACTGCCTAAGCTCACAGGTTCAAGACCAGTCTAAGCCAGAGGGAGACCTCATCTCTAAAAACAGCTGGGCGTTGTGGCAGGTGCCTGTAGTCCCAGCTACTTGGAAGGCCGAGGTAAGAGAATTGCTTAAGCCCAGGAGTTGGAGGTTGCTGTGAGCTGTGATACCACGGCACTCTACCCAGGGCAACAGTATGAAGCTCTGTCTCAAAAAAAAAAAAAAAAATTACAGAATGTATCCATTATTAAATCTTTATCCATAATTGATAACATGGATGCTTATGTGGGTAAAAATATACCCAGCTTAAAAATCGCACTAGTCTGCTCTCCTCGGGATGACAACAACATGTGGTAAGCAGACACAATGAAGGCTGATTTTATTATTTAAGTAGTTCTGGTCAGAGAAGGAGCAGGCCAACCAGTCTGGGGGCTGGTAACAATTTACTCATTTTCCAGGGGGAGTTCTGTTCCAATGTATAATCTCTGACGTGACCAAAGCCTGCCCAAGGCCACAGCAGTCATGCTCCCAGGCAGCACCTGCCATCCGAGTTACTTACATTTCCATCGTGGTTTGGGCAAGAGAGGGGCTTTCCCGCAGCCACAGCGGTGACGGTCTCCAGGATGGAAGAGTCCTCGATGTTGCTGCCTGGAGTTCGCTGCAGCACGTCCATCAGGTTTGTGATGAAGAAGTTGTTTTGCAGTGCGGCCACCCCTTTCTCGGGCAGGATGGAGGTCTGGCGGCACACGGGGCAGGAGAGGGTTAAACTGTGGGCGGGAATGTAGTTCTGCAGGCACCTGTGGCAGAGGCAGAGGCAGGGGATATAGTTTAGCAGCTCAGGGGACAGAAACATGGGCAGCTTGGCAGAAACTCCCATCACAGTTTCCTTTACTAGAAAATAATATTTTAGTAACCCAGACGTGACCAGTACTCACACTGGCCTTGTCAGCTGATCAGGCAAAGGATTACGCTCAAGGAAAAAGAAAACGTCATTGACTTCTGCCATGTATTCTAGAGGTTGGGCACAGAGTGTGGTCTGTGGACTAGCAGCACTGGCCTCCATAAGGGGCTCACTTGGGAAAATGCAGCCTCTCAGGCCCTGCACGGCCTGCTGAGTCAGAATGCTAAGTGGGTCTCCTGCACTGCAGTCTGAGAGCACTGGGCCGAATATCGTGCTGGGCTCATGCATTTGTGGACTTTCACTCTTGGAAGAAATACGTTAAATGTTTATGCTGGCATCAAACCTCTTTTTATACACAAATATCAGATGGTATCTGACTAATACACATGTCATCATCAATATTAAAAACACATCAAAGTGGAAATGTTTAGTTGAAGCAGGGATGGGGCACCCAGAGTCACAGCCATATTGTCTGTTCTCCTTGCCCCTCAACAGGTGTCTACTTAATTTAGGGAATGTGCTGGGTGGGGCCTGTGGCTCAGTGAGTAAGCGCTGGCCCCATATACCAGGGTGGCAGGTTCAAATCCTGCCCTGGGCCAAACTTCAACAACAACAACAACAACAAAAAATAGCCTGGCATTGTGATGGGCGCCTGTAGTCCCAGCTACTCAGAATGCTGAGGCAAGAGAATCGCCTAAGCCCAAGAGCTGGAGGTTGCTGTGAGCTGTGATGTCACCGCACTCTACCAAAGGTAACAAAGGGAGACTCTGTCTCTAAAAAAAAAAGGGAATATGGCACTAATAATGATTAACAAACAAGATCAGATGATTAAGTTCAAGAATTCATTCTGGAAAAAGTGCTATATACTTCACTGCTAAATATCACTCTGGTTACCCCTAAGTGCTCCCCTACGGAAACTGTGCACTGATGCTAGCTCCTAGTCCACCCTTTAGATCAGTTTTGGGCTCTTTTTCTAGGATGAGTTTGTGAACTCAATTGTCCTTTGTACATGCTACTCACTAAATTCAAAGTACTTTCACTGAGGGTATGAAGTAAATGTCATTATAATTTCCTTCCTTCCTGCCTACCTGCCTTTCTTCTTCATCCTTTCCTCCCTCTCCCCTCCTTTTTCCCCCTTCCCATCCTTTTTTCCTTCTGAAAAAGCTCACTGCAGTCTTGAACTCCTGGCTTCAAGGGATTTTCCTCCCTCAGTCTCCCTAGTAGCTGGGACTATAGGTGCACACCACCAGCCTGGGTAATTACTTTTTTTTTTTTTTTAAGAGATAGGGGCCTTGCTATGTTGCCCAGGCAGGTCTCAAACTCCTGGCCTCAAGTGATTCCCCCTGCAGTGGCCTCTGAAAGTACTAGGATTATAGGTGTAAGCTATTGCACTGGGCCTATAATTCCTTTAGACATATTACGGAACACAGGCAGAGAGAGGCTAAGTTACTTGCCTAAGGTACTTAGCTGGTCAGGGGCACAGGAGGAATTCAAACTCAGGCAGTTTGTCCCCATAATCTAAGCTTTAAATAATTACACATACAATTTTTTCCAGTGGTTAGCCAAACAGAATTCAAAAACCACTGGTTTTGGCTCAGCACCTGTGGCTCAAACTGCTAAGGCACCAGTCACATACACCTGAGCTGGCAGGATTGAATCTAGCCCAGGCCCGCCAAACAACAATGATGGCTGCAACCAAAAAATGGCCAGGCATTGTGGCAGGCACCTATAGTCCCAGCTACTTGGGAGGCAGAGGCAAGAGAATCGCTTGAGCCCAGGAGTTGGAGGTTGCTGTGAGCTATG